GTTGACTACTAGGAACAGCTACTCACCTATAGCTAGCTATCATTCGGGCAGCATCAGATAAGGCTAAAGGGGAGAAACGCATAGGCAAAATTTCTATCTCAAACAAAGCTACAGTTGTAGCACTAGAGAATATTGGAATAAAAAATAAATGGTTAGCATGTCCCAAAATGGTCCAATTACTCGAGCTGCACACCAGCTTTGTGAAAGATGACTACGCGAAAACAGTAAATCGTCTCGGGTTCGAAATAGTCGAAAAAGTAGCTCATTACTTTGATGCCGAAAATCTTCCACGAAAAAGGTTGGCAGTCTATTTTCTTCTTTTTGGACTACTGGAAGAAACTCTACAATCACGTTTTCTAACATAACCACCTTTCACACTCCACGCACTCTACCACTATACATATTGTAAATGAGAAACAATCTCTTCTTGATATCTCTTCTCTCTGGCTGAATATCAAGAAGAGAAAAAAAAATTTCTATATATACTCTTCTTTTCTATCTTCGTGTTCTCTCTATTCGTTGCTTTATTACAATTCAACTTATATCAATAGCAATATTAGATGAAGAAAAACTACTATTATGGGTAGAAAAAGATGTGTTTTATTTATTTATTTATTTATTTTTCTTATTACTGTTTTGCTGTTAGTCTCTTTTGCTTGCTTATTTATATTATAATTTTATATGATTTGTCAGGATTCAGGAATAAGTTTATTTGACAAACTATATATTAGCAATGAAAATGTTTTTTATTTAGAAATCATGTCTTAGTTGGAATAGATTTTCTTCATTTTACTCTTTTATATTATATCTCATTGCTTATGACCTACACAATGAAAAACAAAAGAATCTCTGAAAGACTCAGATACATTTTTTGTGATGAAAGAAAGGAATTTGCTTTTTTTAAAGTTTTTGTTTAGTACATTGCAAATAAAACTAGAATTTCAACCAAATGACAAAAAATCGAAGATATCTTTTCTTTGTTGATATTGTCATCTCTTTTTTTCATTTAGTGTATGTGAACGCTTGCGCATGTGCAGGAGGAGAAAGAGAGCGTACAAGAGAGAGAACGACAGAAAGAAGAAAAAAAGATAACAGCAATTCTTGCTGGGAAATGTATTTTCAAAAAAATCTGCTGGAGACTATAGTGTATCCATTTTTCAAAATTTGTATCCAATACTCAGTTTTTCACGCTCTTTCCAATGATATAATTTTCATCAACTCTGCACGAGATCGGAAATTTCAAGTCAGTTGATATATCTCAAAGCAAAAAGTGCGACTGTAGGAAAGACTGTCTTGCGTAAATTGTAGAACTCTTCACGTTGCGTCTTGTGGTATATTTTGTTTTTTAATGATACTTATTTAGAGATGGCAATATGTAATGCAAAAAGCCATCATTCATTATGCCCTATCCATTACTTCCTTTCTCACAACAGTAGCAGAGAACGCAAGAGAAAAATACCTGTGTGTAAGGCCGCTGTACTATATATTTATATATATATATATATATATCATATACGATGAAGGTGATTGAGTAAACAATATTTTTGCGCAATGAATAATCTGACTATGTTATGTTCAATAAATGTTTGTCAAAATAATGGCAAATGCTTTCTCATAACTAATAATACAACAACAATTCCATATTGTTTATGTAATAAATGTTTTACAGGTAGTCAGTGTGAAATTGAACAATATTCAAAAAATCTTTGGATCTATGGTATATCGAAAGAGAATAAAAAAGATTATAGTCCATACAATGAAAGAATTATATTTGGTATATTTGCTATCATATCATTTGTAAGCAATCTTTTATCATTACAAACGTTTTTATTTTGTAAAAAAATCCGTATAACAAATCTGGGCATATATTTAATTTTATATTCATTGACTGGTATGATTATCAGTATGATACATATTATATTTGCATTTCTGAATTTACTTTATAATTTTGAAGAAGTCTCAGAATCAAATCGTTTGATACAGTGTGCATTTTTATATTTACTTCAAAATTCATTAATTTTCTGTCTCCAGTGGCTTTGGTTATACATTGCAGTCGAACGTGGTTTTATTGAATATTCATATGTTAGTCTCTATGATTCAAGACGACGTTCATTGATTTCTTCCATATTACTTTTTACATTATTACCATTATCAAATATTTTGCCAATTTTATTTGGTCGAAAAGACTACAGTTATACTTCATATAATTTTTGTCTATTAAACTTTACATCAACTGGTTATACATTCTATTTAATAATCTATTACATTAGCTAAATAGCTTCATCACTTTCATGTACAATTGCATGTGTATTTATCTTTAAGCATCTCATTGAACATCGTCGTAATTTAATCGACGATGAATCATTTCGTTCATCATTAATTTTAATTGCATCGAAACATCATGATTTTTTTCTACCAATACTGGTTTACTGTCTGTTAGTTAGTCCTCAATTTATACTTGATAATTTGATGGATTGTTTACGAGCAGATTCCATAGTGGTATTTCGTACACAGATTGTAACACGACTAATATTTGATAGTGCATTGACATTAACATCTTTTATCTATGTTTATTTATCAAAACTATATCTTTGGGAATTTTGGCACACATCACCCTTTGGACAATTTTTAATTCATGTTAAAAAGTGTTTGATAAACTGAAAATTACTACCCAAATCGAAACTTTTTTACTTTTTGATAAATCTCGCGAAAATATTTTCGTTTTTCAAAAAATCGAATCAGCGTTTTCGGCACACTTTTTTTTGTATGAACTTTAGCGCAGAAACGCTTGAATAAATTCTACAATTTTATGGAGACTTGTTGAGGCATCTGTATCACGATCTGCGAAGATCTATGATACTATGACCGTCACGGTCTGTGGGAAGGTCCAAATTTCTGTTCTATATACTTCAACACTCCTTTTACTTAGGGTTGATTAAAAGTTCGTAGAAATTCATGCAATAAATCTTTCGATATTAAGTACTTTATAAAAATTTAAATATCGTTCTACGAACTTTTGGTCAACCTTAAGTAAATCGTGTTTCACAAAAAATTAGTATTCGATAACGATCTTCTCTTCTCTTTGATCAGCACATTCGGTAATAGTTAACTAATTGTGTTAGTCTTGATCTTCACTTTTTAGTACATCTTTGCGATCAAAAATGACGAGTAATTTTTCACATCTCATTTATTTCTTCCATATAGTTTCAAATTTATCGAGTCAAAAATTCTAACATTTTAATTTGCAAAAGAAGCTACCTTTTGTGTTTATCCTATAAGAACTCAGATAAAGCAGAATATCGTGATATTGTTTAAAATCAATAACAAGAATGCTACACGATATCCAAACAACATATGTTAATAGTAAAAATAAAAACTGCATGACAAAAATCTAGATCTCGTACTTGACCAACATCTACTATTGTCATTAGCGCGTTTTTGCGTAGCTGAACAGTTTGATATATGAATGTTGATGTCGTTTGTCATAGTTAATTGTTTCGGTAAGTAATGCTGCTGCATCACATTCCTCTAAATGTATTTCAGTTCGCCGTTGTTGATCATTTCTTACTATTTTCGTAATTTGAAATGTTGAATAAGGTAGAATTAAAACTTCATCTTCATCAGAAAATTCTGAATATTCAACAACGTAAAATGCTGTACAATTTTCATTTTTGATTGTGTTGTACGTACACAAGACAGATATATCATCGGTATGCGACGATACATTATATTGTCCGCTGAAACATTCGGTTACTTCATGATTTTTTGAAGTCGAGAGAAAGGTTGTTGTAATAATGCGAGATCCTTCTTTATAATGAGAAAAACTCGATTCTTTAATAAATAAACCTCGATATACTTCGCCAACAAAATTTAAACTTCGAAATTGCGGATGATATAAGAGGATAGTAACAATGGATTTAGTACCGTCTTCAGTTGAATATAAGCATTCACAACAAAATTTGCTTCAACCATTTGTTAGATAATGAATAACATTTCGAACTTTTACGTGCTCTTTGAAACCAGTATCGTATACAGTCAGCGGATGGCAGATGATTTAGTCGTGCACTCAAATAGTCTTCGCTTATCGAGTAGATTCTGCTTTTAAGTGATCTTTTCATTATAGATGATTCTAATTCACGACGAAATTGAAGAGCATGTCGATCGATGAGTTCCCACTTGTAAAAAGATTGATCATTAACGAGAGAACAACTTTTGCATTTGACATCACGTTCAATTGATGATGTTGATATGGAATTAGTTCGAGCAAATATAAATCGGAAATGAGATTGAGAACATTTGAATAGTTGTTGAACTTCGTCTGTCTGTGCTAAATCATATGATGTATGTTCATTATAATTTCTAATAGAACGTGAAACATAAAATCTCAATAAAACCTTTATGATTCGAATGCAAATACCTCGAGTAGCTTCATGTAAAGCGATATTACCATCGGAAGGCATCTGATAACTGATTTCTTTAGTACTTATTGATGGCAGACACCAACTTGTTGATATTCATTCGTACATGTTAAATAGAAGAAAATTGATTAGAAACAACAATAATAATTTATGCAGTGTATGTAATATTATCATATTTGAGCCCATACTAAGACTTTTCATCCATAATAAATTGCCGACATATATACTGATTATTTATACGTATAGTTTTTTTTTGTTATTAAAATCATATCAAGGTAAAAAGTATGATTTTGTTTCGTATTTGCTTCAATATCATAGTGATACGCATGCAATATGCATAGTTATTTATAAAAACATGAGAATGAATCATCTCAATTAAGTATTCACAAGTATAAGCGTTTCTATTTTGATTTGCATAAAAAAAATCACGGCACATTAGGAAAGAAAAATTGTGTAATAAGTTGTAATTGTTTACAGAACAGGAAAAAAAGCAAGTAAGAAATAAATGGCCGTCACACATCACATTGTACACGGTTAAAATAGGGATGAATCATAAAATCAATGTAAAATGGCGTGCATGTCTTGCCATTTCTTCCAATGTTCTTATTGATAATGAACGTTGCTGGATGAAAGATATATCTTATTATGAAGTTAGTTTTTTCGGTCTCATCCCTGCATTTGATATTGATTCGCTTAATTCACTATGCTTTATTTGCTTTGACGGTGTACTAGCAGTAGAAAATAGGGTGTGAGTGTGGGTGTGGGTGTGGGTGTGGCTGAGGGTGTGGGTGTGGTTTAACATGAAGTACACACGCACACCCACACCCTCTTGTTCTTATACTGTGGAAGTATTCGAATTTCGAGAAAATGTCACTTTTTTAATTAGTATTCTTTTGACGAAAATGTAATGTTCAGTCAATCGAAGAAGACTTGCTGATCTGTTTTGATAGAGAGATAAATCTTGGTTTTAATACTGGTTAGATCATTTTTGAATGACTCAATAAACATGTTTTTTCATTGTGTTTTTTCTTTCAATTTCAAGCTTACTGATAAAATCAGAAAAGCAAACAGAAAAATGCAACGTAAGCAAGAGCGACAAGTCATTAATAAATAGGTTTCATTTAGGTTGCTGCAAACACACAAATATTTATCATGGCTGGTGTAGCAAAATTGTTTGATGATCATATTCTTGATAAATCGAAAGAATTGGTTGATCTTAATGATGAAGAATATAAAGGCAAAGTAATTGGTCTTTATTTTAGTGCTCATTGGTATATTTTCATTCTTTTATATTTTATTCATAGTGTTTTTTTGGATTTTGTTTTCTTTCTCAGGTGTGGACCATGTCGTCGTTTTACTCCAAAATTAATTGAATTTTATAACTCACATGCAAAAGATAAAAATTTTGAAATAATATTTATAAGTTCTGATAATGATGAAGAATCATTTAATGAATATTATGAACATATGCCATGGTTCACATTAGATTTTAAAGAGAGTGATAAAAAAGCAGAAATAGAAAACAAATTTGATATTACTGGAATTCCAACATTAATTTTATTGGATGGAGATTCTGGTGATATTATATGTACTGATGCAGACGAGCGAGTTTCGTCGGATGATAGTGAAGGAGAAAAATTTCCATGGAAATCATCATAAAAAACAAAACTTTTCGTTTTTAATCGAATTTTATTGATAAGACATTGTAATTTTCTTTCTTTTTTATATTTTTGTCTGAAAGTATGCTTTCAAATATATTCAAATTAAAAAAAGTTTAACTATATTGTTTGCTTCTTGATAAATATCTAATCTAATCTATCTCTGACGATAATTAAATGTAGGAAAATCTTGAATTTCAAAGAAACTGATTGTGAAGAATGACAAATACAAGAAAAATATTGTTGATTTCTTACTAATCGAACGATTTATTTGTTAAGAAGTATCTTAGACAGCAGATATACGTAAAAGAAATTTATGAAAGAAATTCTTCTTTTTGATCAATCTCATTTGTATTACTTTAAGTTATTACTGAATTGAATTGGTCAATTCACAAGCGTAGCTAAGAGAAAATTCAGTCATGACACAATCAACCTTAATCGGGCTTCATAAATTTCCTTTTCTTTTATGGCTGAATGATTCTCATAATCTTTTCGTCTGCTGTGTAGAACAGAGATGGTGTGGATGTGGTTTTTCTCTTCACACCCACACCCACCCTCTCTTTTTTGAGATAAGCGATTAACAGATTTTCGATGTAGCCTATCATCATAGCTACTGAATTGATCTGAAGACACCAGTGTTTTATCCCGACTCATTCCTAGATTCAGTGCCTTATTGATGTAAAAACAAGTCGAAGATTTTAAGATTGATTACCAAAAAATATGAAACTTGCGACAGAGACATTCTTCTTAACTGTTCACTTTCTATATTTGGAAATTTATTTTGCTTGTTGTCAAGTTTATAGTCGTTTTTTTCTTTTTCTTCTCAATAAGACACATACTTTATGAAATACTCTTGAATTTTTCTTCTTCTTTCTTTCATGCCGTTACAGAAGTCTTCTGTATAATGATTTTATTTTATTGAAAGTACACTGTTAAAAAATCTTAAGAATAACAACTCTCACTATTCGTTTATTACGATTAGATAAATTCCTTTTAAGTTTGTGTGCTTAATCTATGTTTTCATAAATTCTTTTCTTTCGTTAAAATTAGTATGGATTTATGATACATTAAAAGTTCATTTATTCCTATACTTTTTTCCATATTCCTAAACCATTCGTGGTATAAGAACGGAATACAATATTGAACAAAGAGTTTACTGTTCTACTTTTGTTTTTAAAACGGACAATGATCAACACTGTCGGATGGGTTATCTTGTTCTTGTACGTAAAAATAGTTTATAAACATAGAACCAGTATAATGTTCTATGAATTTTCAACGAGACACAAATCCTTATCAATGTATTTGAACGAAAAGTATTTATGGAAAGCTAGGCCATGTTCATTAATCTATAAAAAATTTATCTAATCATAATAAATGAATAGTGAGTGTTTATCATTCTACACAGATTTTACACTTCATAAACAATAAAAAGTCTATCGTTACTTTATACACAAACATGAATATTTTC